CAGCTACTTCTGTTAGGAGTTCTAGCTCCTTTCGTTGGAGAATGGTATTTAGAAACCGAGATCTGGGCATCAGGTGTGGTTACTACTGCTGGGGCAACACTGCTGGTCGGCCCGCTCAGAGGACAACACGTGTACATGCACTAACACACGCAAACACACACGTGTGCACACACACACACAGGCACGCTCACACATCTTTATCTAATGCTCATTATTTTCGTTTTTTTTTTTTAAACATTTTTAATGGCTGTAAATGCTCGTTATTTTAAGCCACTTGATTTCGGGGTGCTTTGTTACGCAGCAATTGCTGACTGATACATGTGGCTGGAACTTTGCAAACTATATTTCCAGACTTCCTGGAAGGCACCAGTGGGAGGTGGGGAGAAGAGATTCCCTTTCCTCTGCCAGCTCCTTCCTTACCCCAGCCCCGCGTCTTCTGGCTCCCAACCCGCCTCAGGAGCCCCTCCATCCTCTCCGCTCCTGAGTCCTGGTAGCCCAACCTCTTCCAGCCCCCCGGCCCTGCAGCCAGAAGCCACTTCCTGCTGCCCACGCTTGCCTTTCTCTTCCCCCCTCCTGCACCCCCGAAGCTGGTTGCTGTATTGACTCCCTTCTGTTGAGACGCTGGTGTGGTTTCTCGTCCCTGACGGGACGGTGTGGCCTCAGGGTGGACTCCAAAGTCCAGTCCGAGGGGCAGAGGCCGAACCGGGTGGGGAGGAGTGCCGAGAGGAGGCCGGATCACGGGAGGAGCAGTTCACCGTCTGTGGGGTGCAGCTAACGCAGCATTTAGGGAAAACCCGCAGCGCTAGACCCCTACGTTAGAAAGGCAGTCTCGAATCAATGATCTTCTCTTAGCCTTCAGAAATTAGGAAAGGAAAAGAATAGCAAATTAAACGCAAAAAAAGTAGGCCGGGCGCGGTGGCTCACGCCTATAACCCCAGCACTCTGGGATGCCGAGGCGGGAGGATCGTTTGAGCTCGGGAGTTTGAAACCAGCCTGAGCAAGAGCGAGACCCTGTCTCTACTAAAAATAGAAAGAAATGAATAGGCCAACTAAAAATATATAGGAAAAATTTAGCTGGGCGTGGTGGGACATGCCTGTAGTCCCAGCTACTCGGGAGGCTGAGGCAGGAGGATCGCTTGAGCCCCCAGGAGTCTGAGGTTGCTGTGAGCTAGGCTGACGGCACGGCACTCTAGCCAGGGTGACAGAGAGAGACTCTGTCTCAAAAAGAAAAGGAAATAAACTTGGACAGCCCCCTATATTAAAGGAACTGAATTATAGTTAAAACCAAACCAAACCTTCCCACAAAGGAAACCCCAGGCCTAGGTGGCTTCGCTAGGGAATTCTACCAAAGACTTAAGGGAGCAATGATGCCAATTTTACACAGACTCTTCCAAAAAATTAAAAAGGAAGGAATACGTTCAGCCCTTTCCCGGAGGCCAGCGTTCCTTCGATGCCCGAGGAGACGGACAAGAAAAGAAAACTGTGGGCCGACATCCCTCACGGACACGGGTGCAAAAATTCTAAACAAAATTTTGCCCAATTGAATCCACCAATCTATTAAAATTGTGACCGAATGGGGTTTATCCAGGAATCCTGGCCTGTCTTAACATTGCGAATCCACGTGTAACTCGCCGTTTTTAACAGATGAGAGAACACGAACCATGTGATCATTTTGAGGAATGCAGAGAAATCACTGACAAAATCCAATATCCATTGCTGATTAAAAAAAACAAAAACTCTCAGTAAACTGAAAATAGAAGAGCATTTCCTCCTCGGGACAAAGGTATTTACGAAAAGCCGACAGGTGACATCATACCTAAAGGCTGAATATTTCCCCTGAAATCAGGAACCAGACCAGGATATCTGCTCTCACCCCTTCTAATCAGCGTTGAGCTGGAAATCGTAGCCATTGCGATC